ATCCGTGTTGCAGGCGATGCTGGGGGCGCTCTGGGGGCCCCTTCCCCTTGGGCGGGGAGCCCAGCACCCCCAACTCCATCCCTCCCCAGGCGGGCAGCAACAGATACGCCAGGACCCTCCAGCTTCCCATCCTGATCTCCCTCGGGGGACCTGCGAGCAGACTCCTCCGGGCGCAGCTCCGGCCGTCCAGCGTCCTCTAGTCCGCCTGCCTCCTCGCGAGGTCCGGACGCCCCGCGATCTCTGGCTGCCCGCCTCCTGCGGGCAATTGGAGGCGGGCGGGGGTTGCAGCCCTCCCCCCTCTCTCTCTCCGGCCTCCGCCTCTTCCCGCCCCCACCGTCCTTTGCCCCCCTGCCGGCTTTTGGAAGGCCGCCCGGGTCGCTTTGCTGGCGGAGCCGAGCGAGTCCCGCTTCGCACAAGCTCGTCGGAGCGTCAGAACGCGCGCTTCGAAGCCAGCAGCGCCTGGAAGTCCTACCCGGGGTTGTTCAGCCCACAGTTAAACTCAGTTGGGCCACCACATTACGCTTCTAGGAAGGTTGCTCAGCTCCTCAGCAGCATCTAGGAGACCTTGGCTCTGCTAAAAAAAGCTAAGCAGGATTGGACCTGTTTTAATGTTTGGATGGGAAACTTACTCACCTGGAAGCCCCAAGGTTGTAAACTAAGAAGTTGAAGAAACTTTCCAAAAAAAAAAAAGACTGTGGCAAACCACTTCTGTTCTGTTGCCAAGAAAACTATGTGGACGTTTCATGTACTAATGGGATTTGAGCTTGACTGGAGGAATTTAAAACAGGATTCCACTACATTTCAAAAAACAGTTGAACCTGATGCCTGAAATACTGAGAATCAAGTGTGTCATTTAATCACTACCCTGCCCTCCGCCGCCGCAGGATTTGGAATCAGAAAAAAGGAATAAAATAAATTGCTTGCACCTCCCGAACCACATTCTTATTTCATGATGTTGATAGTCATCCGGACATAACCCCCAAACCCCAGCAGTTCCTATGGGAGGTGGTGCTGCAGAGCTGTTGAGCCCCCTTTCTTCTTGAAAGACCCACTAAAGCAGCTGATCTCAGGAGCCAAGAAGTGGGAGAAGGCCAAATTCCCAAATGGGGAGAAGGACCACTCACAAGCTCTACCAGAGCTGCCCACTGTTGCAAAGAATATACGAGATGTACGTTAGTTTCAACCAACCACAGTGGGGCCAGCTAAACACCGAATCGTCTCTCAAAACTAGCCAATGTTATGTAGACACACATCTCTGATCCAAAACTGGTTCCAAACTGGTTCAGAATTACTTCGCAGCAGTGCTCTTGTTTTACAGAGTGTATTCCTCAGTCTTTTACTGGTTTCCCTCATCTGGTTGAGCGAGTCATGAATCTGCTTGGGGCAATGAAATCCAGGCCTCTCGATTCTGGGAAATGTGATTCAACCACATTTCTGATTTTTGAGACTTCAGCAGCCATGACCCCCACACACTTCTTAGTCACAAGGATGAGAAACTGGATATTTTGCAGAAAATTGCAGAACTCTGTGGAGCTCTATTTAGGCTGAAGATAACTGACGCCCCAAAGATGTCAGTTCCACTTCAGACCTTCATGTATTCAGCGTGATCGTCTGAACAGGGTTCTAAGCATGTTCAATTAGTCAGGCTGACAACTGTTCCTGCTGTCAAAACATCTTTTAACCTGTGAAATCTTCTCAGGTGGAACATGCTTTTGAGGTCTAGGGTGAGTTACATAGACATCTCTCCAATAAAGCTGTATACTTTCTGCGGAATAATTCAGTAGAACCTTCCTATTGACATTCTGCCTGGTTAATCGCACCACACCATGCCATAATGTCATTTGGTTTGGGTTAGGTTCACAGCTTATCTGTCAACCCTATCATTCTGGCTTGTAAATCAGGGTTATGATTTATTGATTTAGTTAATTAGATTTATACTGGCCTTTGGATGGATAACAACTCATGAAATGCCCTACAAAATTACCCCCCTCCCAAACAACGAAGATATAAAAACTATACTGACCACTCCTCTAATAAACTAAGAATATCTCACAGATCCTGCTAATCTTGCAACCCCCATGCCTAGGAACAGGGTGTTGCCTGAACCCAGTCAGTTACGGCTTATTCAACAAACCCTAGTTTGGTACAAAGTGTGAAGCCAGCCGTTCGGTACTGAGGACACTCCACACAGCTCCTCTTCAGCGTTGTTCTGCGAAAACATGCCAGAGTCCTTGAACTGGAAGACTTTCCACTTGAAATTAGATTTCTAAATCACATTCTTTCAGTACAATCTGTTTGCTTAGAAAAATATTTGAAAGGCAAAGCCAAAGACACTCTTTTTTCCTGCAAAGGTCAGTCTGGACTTATTAATTCCAGGAAATATTTATGGCTCCAACCCATGGAATCCCAAACTGATTGGCATTCTCTTCCTTCTTGTTTTCTTTTCTTCTTTCTTACATGAGAAGATTACAGACTTTTTTGTCTGGGGTGGTGACAGCTGGTTTAGTAATGGGTGGCTTATTTTTTAATCTTCATTATGGGGAAAGGTTGGAAGAGACCTGGGTTCAACCCACCCAGAGGCATCTGGAGCAAGAATTAGAAAACAAGATGGCACCCATGAGTGTGCGAGCAAAGCCCTGCCCCCATTTTTACACGGGTCGCTAGACACATTACAAAGGGGCTTCCATTGAACAGTCACAGGCACCATCTTTTTTTACTTGCACCTATGGATGCCCCTGAATCCACCTTCACTCATGGAAATTCATTTGTGACTTTGAGCCAGTCACTATTTCTAGAGGAGATGCTCTGTATCCAGCCTTAAGTTCTTGGAGGAACAACCAGATATACATTTAGCACACAAATGAGTAAAATAAATACTAGCCTCCCCCAACCTGGTGCCCTCAGATGTGTTAATAGTGAAACTCCAGCATGGTTGTCCAATCTGGGTGTCCCATATCTCCAAAGGTGACAGTTTACTGAAGTCTGCTCCCAACAGGACTTGCATCTCCCTACTGCTAAATGTTGGAGAAGAGATAATAAAAAACTGAATTCCTGAAATTATTCCTGGACTAGGTGGTCCAGGTCAAGAAACAGACTCTGCAAGGTTTCCAGTAATGCTACTTTATTGTTGTTAATCATGATTAACAGAATCATGAAAGCCTCTCCAAGTGTCTCTCTTGGACAACAATATCAAGGCAGGGTTATTATGAGTTTCTTTCTCATTCTTGATTCAATCTCTGGACTGTGTGATCACTTTTTCAGATCTTTCAATGGTTTGTTCCTTCCTTCTCCCCCTTAATGGCTCTTTCACATTTCCCCCAAGGTCATCTCTAAATTCCTTTACAAATTGCATGGTTCCCCTTGTCAACTGCAACATCTTTCACCAGGACTTCTTGGTGTTAGTGTGAGACCCAAGTTCTAGTCCCCACTCAACCCTGGAGCCCATTGGCTGAATAGTGTTGGTATTGATGATTATGCAATCAGGTTAATATGGTATGATTCAAGGGTATCTGTAGGTGTGGGGCAAAAGTCAAGATGGTGGCTGTGACCATGAGATCTTGGTCACCATCTTGATTTTTTTTTTTTTTACCATCCTCCTGTTAATGTCCTTAGGGTTATTTTTCAAGAAGGAGAGAGGAATATTTTACTTCCTGCTGCACTTGGTTCTTGGCCCAGGTGAGGTCATTCCACATCATGCCTCTTTTTCTTTGTACTTTTGATTTTGGAAAGCCTGCCATTATGACTCTTCATCTCAAGCCAAAGCCTGGGAAATGCTGAAGGCATCAAAAGCACAAAAGCCTTTTTGACTTGGGTGGACTATAAAGGAGGAGAGGGGGGTGGAATGGAATTTTAATTTTAAAGCAAAAGACAAGGTCTACCTTTTGACAAGGGCCAAACCACAAGGCCAAGTAGTGCGGGAAAGCTGTGCTTTGCATCTGGATCTTTTCTGATCTGGGATTTATAATGATGTGATGTATGAGAAGTGTGCTGCTCTAAAGGATGAATTATACTATTAATTGTTAGTATTAATTACACAGTACAGGGAATTACATTGTATGTAAGCTGGAACAGTATTATTGTACAATACTCTATATAGTATTGCGTAATGAACTCGAGCCATTGTGTATTTAATTCAAATCATTGTGCATTTAACTCGGATTTTGCTACAATAGACTCAGTTCTTAACTATGGGTCATCCTTAAACTGGGTGTTCTTAATCAGGGACTACCTGTATTAATTATAGAACGGGGGCGTTGTAAGTGTGTCATGTTAGTGCCCTGAAAAATGTTAGCTGATTCTTCACAAGCAGGTGGAAAATGACCAGTTCCATTCAAACTGCTATCTATGACATGGCAATGTTTCACTGAATGGCTCGGCAACATGGCACCTATCTGTGAGAGCTGCTTCTCACACTGATGTCAAAGTTAGCAGCCATTACAAAATGACCTACAGATACAGGCTGTCCCATCTTCTCAAAAGAAGCAGCCTTCCTCCCTCCCCCTCCCTTACTTCCAAGAGGAGGAAAATAAGAAGTTAACTACCTTGATTTACCTATATATGGGCTTCTAATTTGAAAGTAGAATATAGGTCAACATTCTTGCATTGTTACTTTGACTTTTTCCCTAATAAATCTTACAAATCTGAGCAACAACAGTGTTGTTCCTTGGATTGATTTTTTTTTTACCGTTTCTGTTAGAGAAATCTGACATCCTCAGATCCTTAAGAGGCATTTACTTATTTACTTATTTATTTATATTTCAAGTTTGTCACCAC